CCTCCCCTGGCACAGCTGGAGGCCATGTCCTCTCCTCCTGCCAAAAGGGGGAAGGACCCACCCCCAGGACCCACCTTGAGCACCAGCAGGTCTCTGCCCTCGTAGCTCTGCCCGATCCGGATCTTGCTGACAAGCCCGGGATGATCCTCCACCAAGGTATCCATCCAGGAGTAGATCTGGAAGGAGGAGCTGCCGGGTCAGGAGGCTCACCCTGGGCTGCCTCTTGGGTTTTAGGGCCTCCAGCACCAGAGGCAACATGCAGGGCTTCCCTGGAAAAGACCTGGGGCTTCCCTGGAGAAGACCAGGGCCTTCCCTGGAGACCTGATTCTTCCCTGGAGAAGACCTGCTGTGGAACCCTAATATACCCCTGGAGAAGCCCTGAGGCTTCCCTGGAGACCTTGTGTATCCCTGGAGAAGCCCTGAGGCTTCCCTGGAGACCAAATTCTTCCATGGAGAAGACTTGGGACTTCCCTGGAGACCTGGGACTTCCCTGGAGACCTGGAGCTTCCCTGGAAACCTGATGCTTCCCTGGAGAAGATCTGGTGCTTCCCTGGAAACCAGGTGCTTCCCTGGAGAAGACCTGATGTGGAAAGCTGGTGCTTCCCTGGAGAAGGCCTGAGGCTTCCCTGGAGAAGAATAAGTGCTTTCCTGGAGTCCAGGTGCTTCCCTGTGAACTTGGTGCTTCCCTGGAGAAGACTAAGAGCTTCCCTGGAGAAGACCTGGTGCTTCCCTGGAGATCTGGTGCCTCCTTGGAGAAGACCTGGGGCTTCCCTGGAAACCTGATGCTTCCCTGGAGAAGACTAAGAGCTTCCCTGAAGACCTGGTGCTTCCCTGGAGAAAAGCCTGGTGCTTCCCTGGGAAAGTTCTGTGAGATCCCCCAACGCCCTCTAAAATGAGGTTGGAAACGCCTTCCAGCCCCAGGCCTGTCCCAGGGGTGTCTCCCCCACCACCAGGAGCGTCACCACATGGATCCAACCATGGCACAGGTCGGGTGTGAGCCCAGCCAGGCACGGCAGAGCCTGTCCAGGGAAAAGCACCTCGTCCAGGGTGTGGTAGGAGCCGAAATCGAACGCCCTGGAGCTTCTCTTCACCCTCCTGGACCTCGCCATGGCTTCCTTTTCCTCATCCAGTAATTTCTGTTTGGGGAGGCAAAAAAACCCCAACATCAGGTAGGCTGGAGGGGGCTGGGGGTTGGGTTCTAATTCCAGCTCCTCGTGGTTTTCCAAGCGTTTGGTCCTTCCCCGGGGACGGAGCTGCCGGAGCTCCTCCCGCTCCCCGTTACCTGCACGTCCTCGATCATGACGGTGTAGGGAAAACTGTGGGACTCCAGGAAGCCTTTCACTGCCCCGAGGCTGGGGGAGGGCACCCTCAGGTCGGCGGGGTGGCCGGGGCCGAAGGGGCGATGCCAGAAATCCAGCTGGGAGGGAGAAGTGGAGCTGCAGGAGGGAGCTGGGCCCCGCCCCGTGCCGGTGCTCAGACCCTGAGCCCCCCAGAACCTCAGGGAGCCTCCCAGGAAGGACCTAAAGAGGCTTTGGGATGAGTTTTGGGACACAGGGGGTGACCTGGAGAGGAGAAGCTGAGCTGGAAGAGGTTGGCTTGAGCTGGAAGAGCAGCCTGTGGTGGTGCTCATCCACGGAACGCTCCGGAAGGAGCTTCCCAGGAAGGATCTAAAGAGGCTTTGGGACGAGTTTTGGGACAGAAGTGGGGACCTGAGTGGGTTGGCCTCACTCAGTGGATCCTCCACTCAAACATGCCTCAGCCCAAGTGGGTTTTGGGCCACAAAAGCCCCTTTGGAGGATGATTTTTGGGATGTCTCCACCTGACGTGAAGTGGAGCTGAAGGAACCCCGAGATAAACATCCCATTTATAGAGTTATAAATGAGACAGATCCCAAATGGGGAGAAAACCTGGATGTGAGGGCAAGGGGAGGAGGGAGCCCTGGGTGTCTCTGGGGTCTCTGGCACGGGGGAATGTTTGGGAGCCCCATCCCAGCTCACCTGGAGCTCCTCCTGCTCTCCCAGCATCCTCAGCAGGGCCGCCTGCTCCTCGTCCCTGGCCATGATCCGGAGAACCTGGTCCCTGCAGGGAGGCAGAGGGAACACAGGGATGGGGGCTCAGGCTGGGAGCAGCCTCTGGAAGCTCCACGAGGGCTCAGAGGGTTGGGAAGTGCAGCAGGTGTTGGTGGGAGAGGGTTGGAGCAGCCCCGGGAAAAGAGCGAGGGCCGGAGAGCCCGAGATGCTTCCCAGCCTTGTCTGGGCAGCTCCCAAAATGTCAGGGAATGTCTGATGTGGACATGTTCTGTCTGTATCCGTGGATTTATTTCCCAACAGGTTCCACTCCAGCCTGGCTGGGCTCTCCCAGGGGTAAGCACAGCCCTTGGAAGAGAAGGAATGCTCTCCTCCGGGTTTTCCCACCTGGGATCGGTCCTGAGCTTCCAACCTCTTGTCCTGTTCCTGATCACCCTTTTCCTTTCTCCCACAGCCTGAATTCCCTCTCCTCATTTCACTGATCCTGAAATCCTTCCACGGAATCCTGCAGGGATCCACTTCCTTCTCCTTTTAAAGCCGCTCCCAAAATCCCACGTGGAGCTGTTCCCCCTTCCCCCTTCTGTCCTTTCCTTCTCTTCACACCTCCTTTATCGGTTTACCCACGGATAACAATTCCCAGGAGCCCATTCCGTGCCTGGAGGAGTCAGGCAGGCATTGCATTCCCAATTTTTCCAGCTGATGGACCCCTTCAGCCACGACATCCTGTCCAAAAACAGGAATGTTCCCCCCCTCTGAGTGGGAGGGATTTGTAAAAGCTCAGGATGGAAAGGGATGATGGAAGTCAGAGGGTCCATGAAAAATTCCAGAGTTTTTAATTAGGAAATGACACACACAGCCTGGGAATTGTGGGTTGGATAAAGGGGGTGGGGGGGGGGAAAGGGAAGGGAGAAGGAAAAGAAGGGAGGAAAGAAGGAAGAAAAGAAGAAGGAAAGAAGGAATAAAAGGGAGGAAAGGATGGAAAAGAGGAAGGAAAGGAAGGAAAGAAGGATGGAAAGGACAGGAAGGAAGGGAGGGAGGGAAGGAGTGAGGAAATTTTAGGAAAATGGGAATGGGTTGGAGGCTTTGGGGGTCTTGGGTGGTCCTGATCCCCCTACATTCCATGTGCACTTCCTGACCTCATTCCTGCACCTGTGCTGGGCTCTTACTTATTTCCAGGAACTCCAACAAGGATGTTTTCCTGGAAAAGTCCTGCCCGACCTCCCCACGGCCCCTTTTCCAGCCACAGCTTGTTCTTTCCCACGGCCTGTTACTCCCAACCATCCTTGGCTGTTATTCCCAGAAATCCTTGGTTATTACCAACAATCCTTGCCTGTTATTCCCAACAATCCCTATCTCTTATTCCCAACAAACCTTAGGTGTTATTCCCAATAATCCTTGGCTGTTGTTCCCAACAATCCTTGTCTGTTATTCCCAACAATCCTTGTCTGTTATTCCCAACAATCCTTGTCTGTTATTCCCAACAACCCTTGTCTGTTGTTCCCAAAAATCCTTGTCTGTTATTCCCAGCAATCCTTGTCTGTTATTCCCA